GGACAGATGGATTCTCCAGGCCACAGGACAGAGTTGAGCAGGCCATTCTCAGGATCCCGATCTCCTGGCTGGAAAGAGAACATGGTGTGCTCTTCCTGGGTACTCTGGGCTCCTAGAAGTGGTGTTAAGTTGTGGAAAGCTGCATCTTGGACTTCCCCTTCTCTCCAGAGCCAAGGCGCACATGCAGAATACGGTGTCTGTTCACACTGGCATGCCTCCCTCAGGTGCTCAGCATTGTCACAGAGAAGCAAAGTAAGGAGCAGGGTGTTAAGGAACTCCAAGAGCTGCCAGATAGAGGACTTGAACCGTGTTGCTATGAGACATGATCAAATGGACAGTTTAGCCCAGTGGGTAGGGATGGGCAGCATTATGGTGGGTGAACCCAGCACAGTGGTGATGTCTAGACACCCTTGCAGAGAAGTCCATACATAGACAGTGGCTGCAGGTGGCAGGTCCCCAGGCAGAGCAGGAGGCTTGGCTAGTCCTGAAAGAAGTGAAGCCCTCGGGGGGGCCCTGTGACAGCCCAGAGGCTAGAATGGGCAACCAAGAGCCTGGGGGTGCAAAGGCTTGTGATCCACCCTGGGGTGATAATTTACACCAGGCCTGGGGGACTGGCAGGGCCTCAGAGCACACAGATGAATTTGGGGAAGACCTGGGCTGAGAGGCCCAGGCCAGCCACAAGGGTGTCCCAGGAATGAACAGTCATGTCTGAGTCCTCCTCACAAAATACTCCCTGATGCTGGGGTGGGGGTGGGGGCTTTTAAAAGGCTTGACTTGAGGCTAGAGAGTTAGTGTTTAACAGCACTGGCTGTTCTTCCAAAAGACTTGGATTCAGTTCCCAGCACCCACATGGCAGCTCACAACTGTCTGTAACTCCAGTTCCAGGGGTTACATGCAGATGTACATGCAGGCAGAACACCAATGCACATATAAATAAATACGTAAATGAACACACAAACAAACAAATAAATAAATAATGGTTTGCCGCAAGCGCAGAAAGAGAGCTGAGGAATGGAGTTATTAGGTCTCTTACTAGCTGCCTGGCCTTGGAGCAGGCACCCACCCTTGCTCTGTTCAAGAATCAAACTTAGGAGCAGGGCAGAGGGCCATCCCCAGGCCAGCCCTGCCCTGGTACTCCCTCTGTAAGCCTGCTTCTCCGGTGAGGTGAGCAACTCCCTCCCCAGAGCACTGTTCTAAAGACCAGCAGGAGCGTCTGCTGCCCTGTCAGGACTGGGGCTTCTCCTGGAGCTGACAGAAGAGCTGGCAAGGGAGACATGAAGCCCTAAAAGAACAAACCCCATCAAGACGGCTTCCTAAAGTATAGCCCGGCCACATGGGTCTTCAGGAGGGCATAACATTATTGTCCTTTTTCTTTAAAGAAATTTAAACTTCCCTGGTCTCGTAATGCTCGGGGCTAGCCATGACAGTCTCCAACAGCATTAAAAGAACTCTGTCAGCCTTTGCTCACCCATTCCACGAGCGTTTGTTGGCTCCGTACTTCGTGCTCGGCTGGAAAGCAAAAGCTACAAAGACATGGGTGTCCTCAGGCGTAACTGTGAAGTGGACAGACCTGGGCATAGACAAGCGCGTTGCTGTGCCGAGGCCATCAAGAGAACTCTGCAGATGTCAATGAAGAGACACCAGCTCAGTCCAGGGAGGAATAAGGAAACACAGAATCGCCACATGGAACTGCGGTTCATGTGCTACACAAGCCAGCGCGCCTTGTCCTCTAGACCGGCAGGATCTGTGAGCTTCGTGGCAGCCCCAATTGCCAGCTCCGGTCAGCCTAACTTGTCCCAGAGAATCTTTGCCTCTGGCTTCTCTCCTACCCACAAATTCCTTTGTCCAGCCTTCCAGAAGTTTCTCCAGGAGAGCTCCCCATGAGCTCTTGCTGTGGCCCTCTCTGCTGCCAGCTCTATAAAGCAAGCTGACTCCTCTCGGGGGTTTCACATCTTAGGGAAGTGTGATTCATGGGGAAAGAACTCTTTCTAACCTCTGCTGTGACCCCCAAAACCTGTGGCTAATACTGAGTGATCTAAATCTCACAAAGCTAATAAAAGCGAGAGCCGCGCGGCATTGAGCCGTGAAGAAGGCCTCTGGCCAGCCAGCTCCCGCCTTCCCACAGGCACCAGTGGCCCTCCCCGAAACCCTGCACTCTGTTGGCAGCTCTTTCTGGGACCCACAGCCCTGGTGGGTTGCTTGCCAGGGCCTCCAGTGGCCATCCCGTCCATAGCTGGTCCTGGAATCTCTGGCAAGAAAGACCTCAGTTGTTGAACGAGCAAGAGAAACGCCGAGAAACGGGCATCTAAAAAGGCATTCTTGGAGGGAAAATAGTGGGACAGAAGGACACTTGTGAATTATAGATGGCCAATCTGAAGAAGTTATGTCCGCAGGCCTGGCTCTGACCGAGGCCTCTGGAAGTGTCCCTGTAAAACATAAACGCAAAATCCATTTCCACCCCCATGAAAATAGTGTTTGAAGAGCTAATGTCATCAGCAAGAAGTATTGATATGCTCTGTCCCTACACAGCACAGCTCTCCTGCAGTAACCAAGGAGGCAACGGTCCTGCCTTGCACGGTGCCTGACTTGGAGCAGACATCCACAAATACTCACTGTGAAGACACGTTTCATTTGATGACTAGGGTAACGCTAGGATGGGAACCAGCGGCGAGAGAGCTGTACACGATCCAGAGCCTTGTCTGAGGGTCTGCCTGTTGCACCCACCCCGGGGACCCTGGAGACCCGGGGCTAAGGTTTCATGTCAGGAAGTTGGCTGGCTGTGCTGGGCATTTGCGCTGCTGCTGCTGGTGCTGAAAATGGTGCCCCTGCACAACTGGTCTCTAGGCGAAGGGGAGGGCAGTGGCAGGATTTAACTGATGGTGGCTACCCACCCCACCCCCGCGGCCGCCATTCCAGGAACAATTTGGAAATCCAGGTTTTCAGCACTGTGTTTACCCTCAATTCCCACCCCTCCCCCCTCCTCCCCCCTCCCCCTGAGTAGGCAGCCTCAAGCCACTCCCCCCCCCCCCCCCCCCGGGCAGGATCGTGGAGATATGTGCTGGGGGCCATCAGCATCTCTGGTCTTAGCCAGCCTGTACCTGTACCACCCATTGTATCCGGGAGCCAACAAGGTCCCTCGGCTCAGGCTCCGGACAGAAGAGGGAGTTCCCTTGGTGTGCCCATGAGTGTAGGTGGCTGGGAGCAGCATCTTGCTTCCTGGGAAACCTTTCTCAGATTTCTCCTCCCGCTGTGGCTGGACTACATAGAAGAGAGATGAGGCAGGGGGCTTGGGTTTTTGTTTTTTTAAGATTTATTTATTATAGCCGGGCGGTTGGTGGCGCACGCCTTTAATCCCAGCACTCGGGAGGCAGAGGCAGGCGGATCTCTGTGAGTTCGAGGCCAGCCTGGGCTACCAAGTGAGT